AGACTGAACATAGAGAAGAGGAGTCTCCGGTTGAGACTCAACACCTTCTAGCTAGTCCGCAAAGACTGAACATAGAGAAGGGGAGTCTCGATCTTGGACCAGGAGAAGATGATCTTGAATATCGTGGACCTGGAGAAGGTGATCTTAAAATCTCGTACCTCCATTCTCCGTAGATCGATACACCGACGGTGGCACCTTAAACATCGCGCCACGCAGTCCTCCACTGCCAGCACGGATGATATTTGTCGTGACCAGCCTCTTGATGTAAATCACCTTGGGAAGATCGTGCTGCGGTATCGCGCACTTGTCTCCTGCGGGCGTTGGAGCCGCGCCATATTGATGTACTTCGGTACATGGTAAGGATGGCCCAATTCGCAGGGTATCCGTCGATTGACTTTTAATTAGCCGCGGAGCGCGAAGCGCGACCGTTCTTTTTCCTCCCAAGGAGAAAACAGGCTGTATCTACCAGGGGCCAAGTTTCAAAAAACGACCGCCTGAATTCGCCCTCCTTTTCGACCAAAACAAGGTCTATGGAGCACCGATTAACGATCTGCTGACTTGCGAGGAAGAAGAAAAATACGGCACTATTCACCACATCGGTGTGGTCGCGCTCCGACAGCAGATGGCCGTGATTCATCGGCATTTGTACCCAAAAAACATAGGAGGTACTCCTCCCGAACCCCGGGAGTTGCCAAGGTATTGGAGGAACAAAAAATCGGAGATATCCCACCCATCCACACGCGTTTGCTTCGTTCACACCACGGGAGAAACAGAGAAAGTACGACACAGGCAACACCGCCGGGATGGGCAAGACAGCATCGGCGGGGGAGCCATACACAGTGCTAGTGGTGGATGCCATTGTCATTGCTGTTGCTTAGGTGTGTGGAGAGGGATCATCAGTAAACCCAACCCTGCCCTGGGGACAAAACATTCGAACTCTGATCCCAGCAGACCCAGCGGGGTTTCTTCGGGCTGTCCCAGATCTCGGGCTCGCAATTTCTGAGCGTCCTAGATCCTCCTGGTCTGTATCAATTACAACACAGGATAGAGCATGGACACAGCTCGTGGCGGATGCCTTTGTTATTGCTGTTGCTTCGGTGTGCGGGGAGGGGTCATCCTGAAACAAAAAGCTGTGTGACGGGAATAAAATGCTCAAGAAGACCTCCTTTTTTTGGCGGGATGTTTTTTCTCGCATCCATGCACGGCTGACTCTCGCCGCGTCCAGCTTCCGTGGGTCCTATGGCCCCGTGGCCTTTGTCAGCCGCCACACAAGACGTGGCATACATACAGCTCGCGGCCAATAGCTTTTCAGATGCTGCTGCGTCGCTCTGTGCAGAGAAACCATCGAAACACCAAATGCGTGTGGAACGTATTTATTCGTCATGCAGACGTGTACAGCAGTAGTAGTGCGCACAGGTCTACCGTCGGGGGCATAAGATACCCCACCCCCTGTATCGATGTTTTTAAAAGCTTGAGTTTCCACGACGAAGAGGATGTGTAAACCCAGCGAGACGTTGTAGGAAGGCTCTCGACGAGACGGTTCCTACACCACCATTTTCGGCACCGCCGCTCTTTTGTGGCGTGTGGAGCAACCGAGCTTTGAAAATTGGTCCAGGGTGTGGTATCTTGTGCCACCTACGGTACGTACTACTGTATATGCGCACATGCGAAGAATCCCAACGGCTGTTCGTTGCAGAGGAGAAGAAGGAGTTTATGTTACATTTGTTGTTGTTGTTGATGACTCCAATTCAAAATTCAAATTGATTGCTGCCGCCACGGCAAAAAGCATCGCAGATATGTATGTAGACTACGCAATAGGTATTGAGTCGGCTACCCCGCTGCTCATTACCCCGCCCTATCTACAGTACCAGAATCAGTACACCTCGCATATACGCGTGGGATGTGAGGCAAGTTGATTTGATCTTACTGCTGTACAGCACCGCTGTACAATGTGTGAACAGTAAAACTACATGACCATGTGCGACGACATTGTTGCTGCAAAATGCAAAAAAAGAACCAAAGAACCTGGCGTGTGCCAGCGGGGAATTATTATCTTAGACTATTTTCCTAGATAGATAGAGATGGATTCGTTGGGTCATACAGTACTGGGCCCTGTTTAGTGCCCGTACGTGCACAGAGCGTTCACCGGCACTAAACCGGGCACCCGGCACTATTGCGAATAGTGCCAAAACGGCACTATTGAGGACTGGCCAATCCCTCATTAGTGCCGGTCAGGCACTAATGAGGTTGTGTTCGACTTATTTATATGGTGTAGCGCCCGCGCTTGCAGGGTCAACAGAGTACGAAATAGATCGACACTGCTGCTGTTGAGTGAAGTTCCACCGTGGGCATGGGCAGACTTTCTTTCCTGCGACATGTATGTGTGGTTCCAACCTGTGGAGCCAACAAGTGTTTGTTGTAAAATAAGATACAGTAGTTTCGGGCTACAGCCTAACCAGGACTAGTCGACGGCGAAAGAAGACACGTCATGTACTCGAGTAAGGTGTGACGGCACAAACTGCTTGTAAAGCTCTCGTTCGTACAAAATATCACTGCACAAAACATGCTGCCGCAAATGCCGTGCAGCCGCCCGCCACATCCTCCTTGGCAGCCGTGGCCATGAGGGTCTTGCGGCGTTGAGTCTGGTTGAGCGCACAGTTCACCTTCCGCACATGGCATGGTACGCCCCTGCGTAGAGCTGTTCGGGTCTGCAGCAGCACGTGTACCCTATTTCTCTGTGTGGAATCTGTCTTCTCTGCCTGGTGTGTGTATTTTTATTCTTAGCATCGACCACGCTAACCGGCTGGCCAATGAAAAAACGTCAGTCTTAGTGCGGTTGAAAACACAAAACACCTTTATCTGCCATGAACTGGGACCCCGTGAGGGAGCAGCATGGGGTAGGCTAAACTATCCTCGGATCAAAGACAGAAACAGCAGCAACAGAAGACGCTTGGATTCGTCTACCCAGGCTATGACCTTGTACTCTAGTTCGTTTAGGAGTAATTTCACCATTCATCATCCTCCTTGTTTTCGCTACCATAATTCATTCTGATCCTCATTTTGACAAGAATCTCTAGGCAAGCCCTACGTTTTTTGTTTTGGGGGAGGTCATCTGGCTCAAACCCTTTGCTCTCTTCCACTCCTCCATGTTTTCCTTCTCCACCGTCGTCTTCGTCCTCCTTTCTTCCCTTTCCATTTCCTTCGTCTCCGTCACTCCTAAAATAATTACCCTCATTACTATCGTTGTCGCAGAGATCCCAACCGATTGGCCCTGGTGGAAGTTGGTCGATCAGTAGCCCATGACGTTTGAACACATCGCGAGTTCGCATCGACAGAAAACGAGCTAGCTCGAAGGTAAACCGTCTCCGAATCCTGTTAGTATGAAAAGCTTTCAGGCGAACTAAGGCTCTTTCGTCGTCGAAATTCCCCCGGCTAAAAACTTCGTGCGCCAAGTGGTTGGCGATAGCAACAATGAGTCGATTGGTGCCTTTGCTAAGACCACCATTCGTTGAAAAAGCAGCAGTAAATATAAGGATGAGGAGGGTAGATCTAGACGGGTTGAAAGTTCCCGCATTGTGATTTGCCTTACTTGCAGCTCGATATTCGAGGGCGGATCCTGGCTTTTGGATCGACTTGTCGATGCTTCGACCTGCGGATGGGTTGACGATTGGTACGTCTATAAGAATGGACTTGGTGCAGAGTTCCTCTTCCTTCTCTCCTGCGTGTAATTCTGGGGGGACTAATACCAAATCCTTCTTGTATAGCCCCTTTTCCCCCTACCAGTGCCTGTGGTAAAGGGGAAGAATCCTCAACGGCGATGGGCATATGGCACTCGCGCAGTGTCTTGAGGACTACTCGAACCATCCTGTTATGGAGGAAGGTTGAGGCGCCGGTCTTGGTGAAGACGTGGTGTGTGTGTTCGCGCGGGGTAACCGGCACTATTGGGGGTGACAACGGCGCCGAACCGGCACTAAACCGGGCATGCGCTCAATAGTGCCGGTTTGGCACTATCGAGGGCAGTGCCTGTGTCCAGAGATTTTGCCGGCACTAAACCGGGCACCTGGCACCAGCGCTTTAAATAGGTGTTGCGGAGTTGCGGAAGCGCAACAATTGGATGGATATTGCGGCTTGGCGTTTCAGGCGTGTTGCGGCTTGCCGCAACGAAAAATTTTGGCCCGCAACACGTTCGCCGTAGGCGAAATATTTGTGGGGGGGGGGTCCATTTCGCCGTAGGCGAAATTTTTTTTTGGGGCCCTTTTTCTCGCCGTTATTAAATAACAACACTATTTTTGACGTAATTTCCTTTCAAAACCAAGTAAATATCCAAAAAAAATCGCCTCCGGCGGGAGCCCTCCGGGGGCCCTCCCGGGGGGCCATGCTCCGCAACAAGCTCCGCAACAGCCGCTTCGCGGCTATTTAAAGCGCTGCCTGGCACTATTCAACCGGCACCCAACAGGGCCCAAAATTATGCTTCCGACCTATTGCATACCCCCATCCCCCATCCCAACAGGAGAGGTGGGATTGATATACCAAATCGACGTTGTGTGTGGATAGCACATCCTGAGCAGTTCTGAAGCTGCTACTACACGCCAACTGCTAAACTCGCCGCTGTGCTGCGTCTGCCTGTGCTGTGCCGCTGTGCCGTTGCTGGCCAGTTGCTGCTGCTTGGAAAGTCGGAACCAGTTGGAACCATTCGGAACCAGTTGGAACCAGTTGGAACCAGTTGGAACCAGTTGGAACCAGTTGGAACCAAACAGAGGAGTGCTATCCCCCCTCCGGTCAAAGTGCATGCAAACCGCGGAGCCCCGACAAAACTGTTGGGAGTTTCTTCTGGCGTGCTGTGCTGTGTATCGAACAACACACACAGACGAAGTGGGGCAACCAGGTGGACCAAGCATACAGTAGACGAAGAGAGAGAAGAAGAAGGAGAGAGAGGGAGGAACAGATCTCAACCAAATAAACGTATCCTTCGATATCTTAATTGCGGCCTGCGGAGGAACATGCACGTCTACCCCGAGCGCCGGTTGTTTCAAGGGATGGGGAGTGAGATATGGAAGCTGGTCTCGCACAGCGCCACACCACAACAATGGAAAGAGTGGCTTCGGGTGCCGCTGGAGCATGCAGCCGCCCGAGGCAATCTGAACCTCGTCAACTCGCTTCTCGAGGCTGGTGCGGACGGAAGTGCGGGATGGAAAGGTTGCCGCGGCCGTACTCTTATCGACGCAGCCGCTCTCGGTGGAAGCGAGCCTGTTGTGTCTGCCTTGCTGAGAGCAGGAGCTCAGCCGGACGTGAACGTCGTGTCCGTGTCGAGCAAGAGGTCGTCTCTTTACACGGCGACGGTGTGCGGCCACAAAGACGCAGCCAGGCGTTTAATTACTGCGGGAGCGGACGTGAACTTCGAAGACCCTACAGTACGCACTGGAACCCTGTCCTCCACGAGGCAGTCGGGGGTGGACATACGCAGCTGGTGAACGACCTTGTGTTGGCGGGATCGGATTTGGACTCGCTGGGTGAATGTGGTTGCTTACCGCTCCACCTTGCCGCTATCAGAGGTCTTGATAGGGTCGTGTCTACCCTCTTGCTCAGGGAAGCATACTCGGATGCCTCGGCAATGGAGGCGTGACGCCACAAATTTACGCATGCGGGTCTGGCCACCTGTCGGTCGTGAACACTCTTTTGACTGCAGGCGCCGATGTCACCATCCGCGATGTTGACCGCCACTCGGCGCTCGACAACGCCGTTTGTAATGGCCACATTGACGTCATTGGAGCCCTTCTCAGACATGGGGCGGACGTGAACGCTTGTGACGATGTTGGTTGTACTCCACTTCACCACGCTGCTGAAGAAGACCAGGTCGGTGCGATTGACGCGCTGATCCAGGCAGGGGCTAACATTGAGTCCAGCGAGGGCGGTCTGTTGACACCCCTGTTCTTTGCATCGGCTAACTGCAGTCTCAAAGCCGTGCACACTCTCTTGCGGCATGGCACATCCTTGACAGCGCAAGACACGGAAGGAACCACGCCGTTGCACCGAGCGTGCTACCGGCAGGATATAGGCGTGGAGGCGACCGTGGACCTCTTGCTGCAATGGGGAGCGGACGAAACAGCCGTACACAACGATGGCAATACCCCCGCAGATTGGCTCGTTGAGAACAACAATGAGAATGGTACAACATGTTCCACAGCCGAGATCGGGCGGGTCCGGCTGTTGCTGGCTCGGGCTCCGGCGAACCGAGCGTGGCGTCGCCGTTGCTGGCTAGTGATGCTGCGCTCTTGCGCAAAGACAGCGAGAGCTACCACCGACAAAACCGGTGATGCAGATGAAGGTTCAAACGATGTTGGTGACAGGAAGGACGGAAAATGCAAGGGGGCGAGAAGGGAAAATGGGGAGAGCGCCGGCGGTGGCGTACGCTCTCGGATGAACGGTGCGGGCGAAGTGGGAGTGGAGGGTGGGGCAAGCGGCTTGGCCAGCATTGTGGCCTCTGTGGTAGGGCTGGGGCCGGAGGAGGTGTTTCGCTCGATTTTGAGCTTCCTGTGAGGACAGACGGTGATCTTGCGAGGTCTCTGGGAAGATGTACAGGTACGAACCACTTGTTGGGTATAGTTGGGGTGGTGGTACGTGTATCGAACGCTCTGCAAACCGATACACTGGCCTTGGCCTGTCGACATTGTGTACGTATGCCTGACTAGAACGCGTAGCCCGTGATTCGTTCCGATACCCGCGTTTTGATCAACGCCAACATGATACCAACATATTTTGCTGTGTTTTTGCACGACACGAATTTAGTGTTGGTTCAGGCTTGCTGCCTGCTTCTCTCGTGTACCGTACTATTGTGCACAGATAAACCCGTAAAAATTGCGACCCTCGAATATGGCCATGAGCCCGCACACCGTAGGCAGTGCGGAGTCGAATTGGCGTGGAGCTACCCTCTACCACGCTCAGCAGTGTAGAGTTTCCTCTTGCAGATACATGTTAGTGTGCAAGAGCCGTGTGCGGCAAGGTTTGGAACAATGCTACGGACTCATGCAACGGTAGGGGTGCACGAATCCCTTCTGAGTCTCAAACGTGAGAAACTCTATATCTCAGCCTGAAATGGAAATTAACACAACACGAAAATATGACGTGACAGGTAAGCCGATGGGCTAGATGAAACACGATTGAAATTAGAAATCGGAGTTGATATTCGAAGATTATTGGTTGGTTATTCATCTGAATAACCGAAGGTTCTGGGCCATAATGTGCTATCCCTACCGTTGCATAACTCTACGGCCCCCAACAAATGAAGACCTGGTTGGCAAATGATAACAGTAGTCCTGGTGGGGATAGAGATGTGAGTAAGCACGACATTGTTTATCTTCGACCATCGGTTGGAAAACGCTGTCGGTCATGACGCTGAAGCATGTTGTACAACCGACGGTGTATCTTGTCGCTATTGTTTTGTTTTCCAGGGGGAATCCGCCGCTCAAGCGTGATCCATATATATCCTCGAATCCTCCTGAAGTCTCGGCAGAGCTCGCACTGGTGCTCCTACGTTCGGGACCGGCGCGCGAAACAAAACGTTTTCGCTTGGTCGTGGTGGCCTACCCACAAGGCCTTGCTACAAATCTGAGTGATGTGTTAACCGTTGCATTGTGGAATAGGCGGGCAAGGGTATCTGTGGACGCGTAAAGCACCAAAGAGAAGGCTACGAGAGTCTTGTCTTCATCTCAGTTAAGCCAGTGTTCACTGTCTAGCGCCGGGGGGCGGTGGTGGGGTTGAGTAACTGGTGCTTAGATTCTAAGGATACGTAACCGTCTCACGGTATGTAGCAGTGCCTTCAATGAAGGCACGACTCCCTGACGAGGTGTAAGACAACCAGGGATTCTGTGTGGGAAAACAAGAGATACTTCCTCGGTCATATCTTGCTTGTTCAAGTTGTCGCGTTCGTTCCGGTGCATGTTCATATGTTTTCATGAGTCAACGTTAGAGGCGACGGCAGCAGTGCTTTGCTGGTTTCGTCGAGGCCACGTTCTCTTTTAGCATACGTCTACCGGCGTTTGAGGCACATCTGCTTGGCCCCAACTGCTGCTTGACCTCCCGAGGCAACTTAAGGACGCGTTAGTACCACACGCGAAACGATTCTCAAGGCGGGCAACGATCCGCGAGAATCTACGGTTACCAGTCGGTGAAGCTCTTTTCCCCCCATCGCTGACTAGGCCAGAGCTGCGACCCCCGGCCCCACCGTGAAGAAATCCAACAAGCGCATCCACCGTAACGATTCAGGCCAACACATGACTAAAAGCGTTTGGCACAAGGGCGATACCGCGGGGGGTAGACAGACGGCGGGCGGGTAGCGCATGTGCTGGTGGGTGTTCGTTGCCGACCCGATTCCTGGTGAAAACGAGTACCATTCAGTGAACCACCAAGAAATACTCGTCGGCAGGAGTCATAGCTAACGAAGAAGATTTGCGCTCCATACCCATCGTTGAGGTTCACGTATTTCAACGGGGCATGCCGCTGCGGCTTGGATGACTCATCCGGTGGCACACTCCGCCCCTTCCCCACCCACCCCAACCCTGAAGTTGAGCACCTCCTCTAATGCCAGTGGTATAGAGCATGCTCTCGCCCCAGAGTTGCGTTTGCAGTCTTCGGTCTCGGCATCTTGATGCCCTCTCTCCCGCCGCCCAATCCTTGCTCGTTGCCACTCCCTACCCTTGTCCTCGAACTACTGATAAACAAGCCGGGATCTTCTTGGACCCCTCGCCTAGTGCCCCCGCGATTCTGAGTTTGGCTATACTTCCGCAAGCATCCGCCGCCGGTGCTGTGTTCTCGAGAGGGATCAACCTGTTAGATAAAGACTTAGCTGACTGACTAGCATAGTGGATAAGCCTTTATCTAACAAAAGATATACTCGTAGGCTCTTAGACTCCCACCTGGATCATTGGGTGATAGGGATCTCCGGGGCCGGACCCCTCGCCACGTGCTGCTGGTAAAGTAGTTAGGGTGCTTCAAAAGTGATCCAGCCGGGATTCGAACCCGTGCGTGTATCAATGTTAGATAAAGACTTCCACTATGCTACTCAGTCAGCGGCATGATCACTTTTGAAGCACCCTAACTACTTTATCAGCAGCGCGTGGCGAGGAGCCCGGCCCCGCAGATCCCTTTCACCCAATGATCCAGCTGGGAGGCTAAGAGCCTACGAATATATATTTTGTTAGATAAAGGCGTATCCACTAGCTGACTGAGTAGCATCGTGGATAAGCCTTTCTCTAGCACAGCCTCACACTCAGACACACTTTTCAAATCGACGTTGATGCTGCCCATCGGCACCCGGTAAAGCTCCGAATCGTTCGACGCTAGGCACCTTAGATATTTCGAAGCCTCTTCGGTAGACAAACTTGCTGGTGTTGTCTGATTCTGATTCCCTGTCCCGAAACCTCCCACCATTTGCGGGGGCCAAGAACGGTTCGGGGGTACAAATCCCATCTTGTGTCGATGGTGTAGAGTACGCACACACCGGTAAAACGTCAATGGGTGCTAATGCTGATATCGCGAGGTTTGTATTGTTTGACAGAGAAGGCCTGACGGCGTCTTGCCACAAAAAATTCCTAGGTACGACCCAGCCTAACCTTTGCCAACCATTATCCACTCTTTGAGATAGGTATTCTACTGATTCCCAAATGGATACATAGCTCTGATGGGAAAACGACACCACCTTTTTTTCACTCAATCAAAGGTCACCCCCGTCATACATTCAAAGAAACGTTCGTTCTTAATCATAGTCGTCTGTTAGCTGTCTCCGTAACTTTCCACGGAGGCTACCGCGCCTTCCACAGGTAGCATGGGTTGCATCTGGGGACGGTGTTATCCCAGGACCAATGTAGATGACATACAACCTTGATTATCACACCATGCTCCTTCCAGTACACATACACAAAACACACGCGCCCACATACGACCTAAACCGGTTTGGGGGACGGGACTCATGGCAACTTCAACAAGGAATCTGATGCACTGGGTGGTGTTGGTCCTGCGTTTCACCAAAAGCTATTTCGGCGGACTTAACACACCCCCTTCTTTCCCTCCTACTAAACTTGTGAAGTGCGATAGACAACCGGGGGCAGATCCACTCACTCACCCAGCCAAGGTTGGAACCGAAATGATTACGTCCCCATATATTTCCCCACCGACTACAAGATCGACTATGAAATAACCGTTGCGAGCGTTGGTCTAAGAAACTCCTCGACCTCCTGTGGTCTTTGGTGAGCGCTCGCCGATACAATTCCACGACCCCCTCCGCCATCCTCACTACCTCGCAAGCTGAACCCCCGACGTTGAACAGGGTGCTCGCCACGTCCGGATGATCGTGGCCTAGCTTTGCCCCAAACACATCTTGGGCGCTCACCGATACAGTCCTCGGCCTCTCCCTATCTCGCTGCCACGCAATTTAGCGCACTTGCCGAGGCTGTACCGGGTGCTTGCCACGTCAGGATGACCGTCGCCCAGGTTCTCTTCCCGAATCTTGAGCGCGCGCTGATACAATTCGACGGCCTCCTCTGTCCTCCCTGCCTTGTAAGCGCACTTTCCAAGTATGTGTAACGTGCTTGCCAAATCCGGATGATTGTTGCCCTTCTTCTCCTCAATCTTGAGCACTCGTCGAAATAATTCCTCGGCCTCCTCCATCCTCCCTGCCTCGTAAATGCACGTACCAAGGTTGCACAACGTGCTTGCCACCTTCGCATGATCGTTGCCCAGCTGTTCTTCCCAAATCTTGAGTGCTGTTCGATACAATTCCTCGGCCTCCCCCATCCTCCCTGCCTCGTAAGCACACGTCCCGAGCATATGTAAGGTGCTTGCCACGTCCGGATGATGGTGGCCCAGCTTTGCTTCCTCAATCTTGAGCGCTCGTCGATATAATTTCTCGGCCTCCTCTGTCCTCCCTGCCTCGTAAGCATACGTTCCAAGGCTGTACAACGTGCTTGCTACCTTCGGATGATCGTTGCCCAGCTTTTCTTGCCAAATCTTGAGTGCTCGTCGATAGAATCCCTCGGCCTCCCGCGTCCTCCCTGCCTCGCAAGCGCACCTCCCGAGGGTGTGTAGGGTGCTTGCCACCGTCGGATGATCGTTGCCCAGCTTTTCTTCCTCAATCTTGAGCACTCTTCGGTAGAACACCTCCGCCTCTTCCGTCCTCCCTGCCTTGCAAGCGCACTTAGCGAGGGTGCGCAGGGTGGTTGCCATGTCCGGATGATCGTTTCCCAGCTTCTCTTCCCAAATCGTGAGCGCTCGCCGATACAACTCCTCGGCCTCTTCCGTCCTCCCTGCCTTGCAAGCGCACTTTCCGAGATTGTGCAGGGTGATTGCCATGTCCGGATTATGGTCGCGCTGTTGTTCTTCCTGAAGCTTGAGCACTCGCCGATAGAATACTTCGGCCTCCTCCGCCCTCCCTGCTTGGTAAGCGCACTTGCCGAGGTTTTGCAGGGTGCTTGCCACTGCCGGATGATCGTCACCCAGCTTCTCGTCCTGAATCTTGAGCGCTCGTCGATAGAATACCTCAGCCTCCTGCATCTGCCCTGCCTCGCAAGCGCACGTCCCGAGGGTATGTAGGGTGCTTGCCACGGCCGGATGATCGCCCCCCAACTTTTCTTCCCCAATCTTGAGCACTCTTCGATAGAATACCTCGGCATATTCCGTCCTCCCCGCCTCGTGAGCGCACTTCCCGAGCATCTGTAGGGTGCGTGCCACCTTCGGATGATCGTCGCCCAGTGTTTCTTCCTCAATCTTGAGCGCTCGTCGATACAGGTCCTCGGCCTCCCCCGTCCTTCCCCCCACGCGAGCGCACATCCCGAGGTTGTGTAAGGTGGTTGCCACGGCCGGGTGATCGTCGCCCAGCCTTTCTTCCTCGATCTTGAGCACTCTTCGATAGAATACCTCGGCCTCCTCCGTCCTCCCTGCCTCGTAAGTGCACGTCCCGAGGTTGTGCAGGGTGCGTGCCACCTTGGGATGATCGTCGCCCAGCCGTTTTTCCCGAATCCTGAGCGCTCGTCGATAGAAGACCTCGGCCTCTTCCGTCCTCCCTGCCCTATACGCGCACTTGCCGAGGTTGTGTAGGGTGGTTGCCACGTCCGGATGATGTCTGTCACCCAGCTTATTTTCCTGAATCTCGAGCGCTCGGCGATGATACCCCTCGGCCTCCTCTATCCTCCCTGCCTCGCAAACGCATTTGCCGAGGTTGTGCAGGGTGCTCGCCACGTCCGGATGATCGTCACCCAGCTTCTCTTCCCGAATTTTGAGCGCTCGTCGATAAAACTCCCCGGCCTCCTCCATCCTGCCTGCCTCGTAAGCACACTTCCCAAGGCTGTATAACGTGTTTGCCAACTTCGGGTGATCGTTGCCTTTCTTCTCATGAATCTCGAGCGCTCGTCGATAGAAAATCTCGGCCTCCCCCGTCCTCCCTGCCTCACGAGCGTACCTCCCGAGGCTGCACAGCGCGCTTACGACCTTCAGATGATGGTCGCCTAGCTTCTCTTCCCAAATCTTGAGCGCACGGCCCAACAATTCTTCGGCCTCCCCCACCCTCCTTGCCTTGTAAGCGCACTTCCCGAGGTCGTGCAGGGTGGTTGCCATGTCCGGATGATTGTCACCTAATTTTTCTTCCTGAATCTTGAGCGCTCGTCGATACAAGCCCTCGGCCTCCCCAGTCCTACTTGCCTCGTACGCGCACGTCCCGAGGTTGTGCAGGGTGCTTGCCACGTCCGGATTATCATCGCCCAGCTTCTGTTCCTGAATCTTGAGCGCTCGTCGATACAATTCCTCGGCCTCCCGCGTCCTCCCTGCCTCGTCGGCGCACACCCCGAGTTTGAACACGGCGGCCTGCAAACGTAAACAGAAGTGTGTTTCCATGTTCAGTTTTTGGACGTTTACCTTTTTTTTTCGAGTTGCTTCGTGTGTGACCAGTCAATAACACATGCCAGACAGAGGCCTTAGGCCGATGACATCCACAAAAACGGAAACTGAAGCATTCGGTGACCCACAAGGAAACTTGAATCGACCTTTTTCTGCACTGGGAAAGAAATGCCTAGATGGGTCGCAAGAAGATCGCTCGGATCTGGATCTGCAAATTATTGCCCTTACAGATCCTTCCCAGAGAGAGAAATAGAGAGAGAGAGTGCAAAAGAAAAAAAAACAGCCTGAAAAACAGCTCCAGCCGGATGTGTTCTGGCAGAAACTCCATCCCCCGGCTTCAGAACCCCGCCGTTCGGAGAGACGCGCACGTTTCGAACGAAAGGGCGTCACACACTACCCCACCAAGGTATTTCCATGAATCTTCCTCGACGTATTATCTGTCTCGGCCAGGCATGCACAGAAGCCGCTTGCCTCCAGGCAAACCCTCTCACGCGCACACCAGAGAGTGAGTCAATGCACGCACACTCAATCAAGGAAAATGCTGAGAGCCTTATCGACAGCACCAATTTTGATATCTGTGCGCCTCCCACCGCAAGGACGCGGATTTGACGCCCTGAAAGCTCTTTGTTTTTTCTCTGTGCAAGCCGGGCGTCTAACTGTACGCTGTACCCTGTACGCACAACTCATTTTGTCGCATCCACATGTTGAACAGTAGGGTGCTCGACAGCGCGATCTTCCGTCATCGCCGGGAGGGGCAAGGAACCGAAGTCCCATATCACTCAGAGAGGGGAGGGGGTGTACTCTTATGTTTTGCATGCCTTGGCGGCTAGACGATTGACCACGCGTCCTCGAGAGGACGGAGCCACAGGACCAAAGATAACCGATGGCCAATCGTTCCTTCCTACCTTGCCAAAGGTGGTTCACATGTCGTACCTAGTCTATCTATCTTATCGATGTCACTTCCCGCCTTTTCAACCCACTTCCTGTGCCCCAGTACAGCTACCGTCTTTTCCTGGCTATTCCATGCCTCAAACATCTCCCTGTATCTTCCTTGTACTTTTCGCAGCTCAGTCATGTACACTTCCCTCTCCTTGTACCCGATATTCCGCAACTTCATGAACCCGGTCTTCGCACTCGGAGCCGCAATCAATTTTAAACTTACTCCCAGAGAGGAGGGGGAGGGGGGGGTGGTAACAGCGTAATCGGGATGGACGAGATTTCGAACACTTTGAACGTTATGGGAATACAATGATTTTCACCAGCCGTTCTCCCAATGTATGCAAACAGGGTGAAATGTTAGAAAAAACGAACAGCAGCGGTCAGCTCACTTGTATCAATGCGATCAGGGGGCACGCGAAAGACGATTCTTGGAATGTTTGCCCTATAACTCGACGATGTCGAAAAACGAAGGAGGGAGGGGGAGCAGTGGAGTTTACAAAACACTCATACGATGATCAGGAGGTCCTGAGTGTTTTAGTTATTTTCATCCCCGATAGGTTCTCCGATACTATTTACTACCCCAGCGCCAGACTTCGGATAAGGCAAGACAAATTCGAGCAAAAGGGAGGGGAACACCGGTTCCAAGTATGTGACGCCGCAAAGCAGCGCTCTATTGGATGTGCGATACACCTAGCCGGGAAAACATCGCCCGGTTCCTGTACCGCAACAATTATGTTGCGGTACAGAAACCGGGCGGTGGTTACCCCGCAACAGAAGGAAACCACACCTGTTTAATATTCTCCAAAACTAGCTCACCTCGAGCTCTGTTTGCATAGTGGCCGAGGCCTCCTGGCCGCTGCACCGCCCCGCCTGCGCACATACATATGGCGAAACATGACGGAGAACACACAGTAGTTCGAGGGGTTGGCCTCGCCTTTCACCGCGCACACACACGTGGTGGGCGTGGAAGAAAGAGTTGCTGCAAGCAAGCATGGGGCACGCACGCCATAAAAAGCGGCTTCACATCTTCAGATGGTCTGCGAAATACGGGTGGAACCGACAAAGAAGAGTCGGCGACGATGGCGATGGCCCTCTCGTGGTGGGCTGAGACACAGCTCTCTTGCCTGCCCAGTCTGCGTGGAAGCCATACACCACTCTCCACGATACGATCACAGAGTTTTCCCACAAGTTAGCTCATACGCAAGCCGGAATTATCAACATAGTCAGCACAGGTATTCCACGGGAAAATTCGAGCACCAAGAGAGGTCAGCAACGTCGATTCAATCTAGACGTGCAATATTTTTATCCTCACCCCGGCTTCGCATTTCCGCAGAAATACACAACATTAACTTTACGGCTTAATTTTTCCGCAAGGATAAAGAGACAACGCAAACGTACATACGGTTCGTATGGTAGATTTTGCGGCGTTTCATGCAATTGCCACAAGGAAAAGAACAGAAAAGCCTATCAGCACAGCAGTACATGCTAACCTTAAGGTTTGGCGAAACCTCATCTTTGGTCTCGACCGCCCTGCGCAAGTCCTCCATCTCCTTCTCCTCGGCCTCGTGGTCTGCCTGTGTCATCGTGAGCCTCTGAGTCGCCTCAATCTTGTCATCCAAGGTCACCCCTAACTTGACGACTTTGGCCTGCGCATAGATAGGTTGGCCGCGACGCGCCCGAAAAGCACGTGTATTTCAATTGCCAACGTCCTCACTGCTTCACGCGAAACCAAATCCACTTTCATAGGGTCGCATACCTCTACCAATTGTCCTACAGCTAGTGAGTCAAAAATATAATTAAGTTCGGTGTCAGGTGATACCTCTGGTGATCGAACTTGAACATTTTCATACACTGGACGCGCACGCGAAGTGTCTAAAGCCACACCACACTCCGGGCGATTGACATGGTCGCCATATCAGCGAGAAAAATTCAGAGCGGGAAACCAGGCACGCCGAAGAAAGGAATGTCAGGACGGCGCTCCCCATACCTGCGGTACACATGTAGATACATGGATAGTCTACAGCAGTCTTGATTCAACCTTTTGTTTGTTTGCCTTGAGTTTTACTCTCTCAGCTGTGTTGACCTCCCTGTGAGATCCTCATCTTCCTTCGCTCGATTTTTCTGCTCCATTGCCGCTTGGCTTACTACTCGGTTTTGGGATTTGGAGATGGATACGTCCTTGTGCGGAATAGAGAAGAGCCCTCGCAAGGTCCGCACATACACGAAAGTGTGTGGTACACAATAATCGCATCGTGGCGCTGCAGCGCGTACATTGTTCCAACCCGAACAACCACGTTGTTTTACAAGAACTAAAAACTGCGACAGAATGACCATCAAATTTGTCAGGGTTGTTCACGGAGCGGTTTGAACCGCTCCGCTCCGCTACTTGAGATTTCCCAGTCAAACAAAACCGCTCCGTGACATGATGCAAAAAAACGCTCAGCTCCGTGAGTATTTGTCCTCGGATAAACAGCTCCGTGAGGTTTCCCAGCAATTCGTACAAGCGTTTTTTTCACGGAGCGGATCGCTCCGTTACACTATCCACGCGAACACCGAAAAATCCGGGGTTAAAACCGCTATACAGCCTCGTTTGTTGTTTTTCCCACGGAGTCACGGTTCTTGCACGGCGCGAGTCTTACGTAAGACATGTGTGTGCACGGGCTTCCGCATAGCCTATACACCCACATTAAAACATGAAAACAAAGAAAAAAACTTGCGCGCCATTGCATGGGCAGTTGACAGGACAATTTGTCAAGAGGAGAGGGGGGTATGGCTGGGACTCGTGTATACCCATCATTGGCAGGCTGACGCCCGACCATGTCCAGATGGCTATGCTCCTCATTTTCGAAGCCTGATCTTACTCTGGACACGAAACAACAACAGTTGGACCAAATGCATGTCACATAATGAATTAGGGAAACTGTTTGCAGCTCAGTCTGTTGGGAAGGCTAAACCTGCAACTGTCCGAGCTGCTCGTGCGGGAGAGCAAGTCGTTGTTGAGTTCGAATCTGACTGAGTGTAGCAGGGATGTCTGTCTGTGTTTGAATCTGACTGAGTGTTCTCTTGTAGTGAGTGGTGAACAATACATGAGACGCCTGGTATCACCTAACACCAGCATGGCGGGTTCAAACAAGAGGGAGAGAGAGGCAAGCAGTGAGAAATTACCTGCTACTGTCTGGTACGTGTCGCACGAACGAATAAGGTCGAGGAGGTACCTATGGGGGCAATGGTCCCTTCACGATTACCACTATTAAACTGATGAACGCCTTCGTTCGTTCCTGCTGTTCGGGCAGCGAGGACGCGTACGATGTCACGGGCGACCTCCACACACAGCCCCCACCGTGTAGAAGAAACAATTTTCGATGTATCAAACACAACGTATTGCACGAAATCACAGGTATGTACTCCATCCATATATTGACGGATGTCGGAATGATTTCGGCGGTTTTTTCTCACCGGTCATCTTGAGGGCGTCGGTTTCGCGCGGTTCATGCTACGGAGGAAATCATACCACTCCAAACAAAAAACGAAAAACGTGCTACGGATTAACCGCTTCGCTCAGCAAACAAAAAAAACGCTCCGCTCCCTGAGACTTTTCCCCTCGGATAAACCGCTCCATGACTGGTACGAAGGGCGAACACCCTCCGTGACAAGTTCGAAACGAAAAAAACGCTCTGCAGAGCGGTTAATTTTCGTGAACAACCCTGACATTTCTGGCCTCCATGAAAAGGCGGTGGGAAGGGACTCGCCTTGGCAGCTGTACGTTGTATCGCCAGCAGCTAAATAAGCGAGTTTGACAGCGGTGCGCATGATTCCGTCTGTTGAAGGCTGCGTATTTTATTTCCGCGAGAATGCTCATCTGTGACTGCCATGGATCTCATCGTGGTCGCTTTCGAAGATGATCTGTCACCAGGGGCATTTTTTTTGCCCGAGCTTTGAACCATATTTGCCACGACGACTGATTATTTTTTGTTGCTTGCAGGTCCATACCCGGGCACCGCCAAGACAACGCTCACGCCGTGCTCACATGAGTATCATTGCTGATAGGGACGTTGTTTGCCGCGCAGAATTCCACGACGTCATTCATGACAGAGACGATGTCCTCGCAGATCCTGCGAGCCAAGACTTGCCGTTTTAGACGTCCGCCGCTGTTGCAGAGCTGAGCGACCTCCTCCGCTTTATTCACGTGTTTCTCGAGCGCCTCAAACCCCTTGGACAGCCCCGAGCGGTCTGAGCGTTTGTCCAGGACCTCTGTGACTACCACGCAGCACAACTCGCGGAGAGTGGCGAGGTCGTCCTTGTTGCTCCTGGCCGTTTCCGCAAGCTGCTCGAAGGCCAGGAAGGTCTTGCATACGATTCCGACAACGGGGAATTCCTCCACCAGGTGAGCCGCTTCCAACGCAACGGCTACAGGCACCTCCTCCGACGACGTGGCCGCCCCCGATAAGACCTCTCGGAGGTACGCGAAGAAGCTGACCTCGCTGTTGATTTGAGAAGGCACGGGTACGGTGTTCGAGGGCGCCGCCATGTCGCCTCTGGCTGTAGATGGACTCCGATCTCTCCGCAGCTCCGAAACCGGATTATCTTCCTTTCCTGAGAAGTGAGGGCTCCGAAAGGCAGCAGCAACATGAAGCAGCAGGAACAACCCACACCCACCGCGCCCTTTCGGCAGGATTTCCCCAACCAAGAAGAGGAGCCAACGCTTGGCCACACAGATGGCTGAATGAAGTAGCAACATGCAGATGCATGTCGGTGTTTTGCAAGAACAACGGTCCGCACAGCAGGTGGTACCTGCAGATAGGAACAGCAGTTACAAACACGGCGCCTCTTGTTTCTTCGAGCGAGCTGTAAAAAAAGGCTACAGTTTGGCTTCGGCCTTCGCGACGTTCAGGTTTTCGACAACGATGAATCACCGACAGAGATCTAGTATGCGCAAACCGAAACACTCCCACTTCTTCGACGCCGAAGGAGTAGTAGAGTTAATTTAAACTCGATTCATGGACCGGCGGGACTTTTGGGGGCCTTTCGCTGCTTTGTTTGTACATTTTTGGTGAAAACTCTCTGATCGTGATATAAAACTCGAGAATAGATCTTCACTGGATAATAATAAGAACACACGACTGTTAGCCTGCGCCAAATTTGGTGCTGTCTGCCTGTGTCTTTTCTAACCTCTCTCGTTTTCTCTTTGGCACAAAAAAAAAGAGAAGAAGAGCCAACGGTTTGTTATCATCAACGTGCCCGAGTGCCAACATAATAAAGAGTGTCAGCTAGCGTGGGTTGGGGGCGCTCTTGGCAAAGACGAAGGCGCCTTGTCCGCTGTTCGTTCACTACGTATATAGGGTGTGCATATATATTCGCATCATCACCTTGAATAAAGGCACTCTGATTTGCTTGCTGCTTGTTTCCGGTTGATCAAATTTGGCCGGACCACAACGGCAGCTGCCCAAAGCATATATTTACGCACACCCCGTGCATCAACGACAACAACAACCTCCAGCCTCCCCGCCGTGTCGACTAGGAAGGGCCGCCCTCCCCCCGACAAAAATATCGGGGCAGCCCATAAGCTACGCGGTGAGCCTTGTGGAACTGTGTCTGTTCGTTAAGTCGTCTGTGCTTGCGTGCGATGGCGGCACCAGAGAAAGCGAGAAAGACAAAGGAGCACGACGAGAGAGGAGGGCAGAGGGAAAAAGAGATTTCGGGTCGAAGATCATTTGGTTAATGCTGTTATACGTTATACCAACGGAGTAGTGCACCAGCATGCAGCAACCTCACGTACGCGTTGATACGCATGCAGCACAACAAAAAATCGTCCGGGTAGTGCCCGAAAGCTTGGTTGGGGGCTGGCGGTGGTGGCGGCGTTGATACGACTGCTGTGTGTTGTGTCTTTGCTGTTGTGACGGCGGTGATGTTTACCACTGCAAAAAAAGCGAGGAGAGAGGAGACTTGGGGTTCTGGAGCCCCAAACATTTTTTTTTTTTTTGCTGGCACATCTGCTGCTGCTGCTGCATCTCTCTTCTTTCGTCTGTCTACCGGCACACTTCGAACCCGCGGGATGTTATACTTTTTTTGCCGCTTTTGCCACTTGGCGTTGCCCGCGGGGATCATGCTACACTGCTGCATGTTTGGCTTGTCTTGCAAGCGGCCATGCCTGTTATGGTACGTTGCAGAAAAGATATGCGTACGACATACAGCTAGCTGTAGATATATACAGTAAGTATGCATACCACACACACCCTGGACCGAAGATCCAAGCCACTGCTGTAGATTACTACACGACGAAGACGATGCCAAAATTATATGATACGTTTTCGGAAAGCTCCCGACCAGAGGCGGTTCCAACGCCACCATTTTTGGCACCGTCACTGCAGAGGTGATGTTGTACCTGCGCGCAATCAATCCGGTTCGTTGAAGGTTGGTATCCTGCTACAAATATCTTCGAAAGTCAGTAGATTCTCTTCGGTTTCTTTCTTTCGGTGGTGACGAGAGACGAGAATGTACATTTGTTGCCCGGGCAAACGCGTGTCACACTTTCTTCGCAGTGCGCGCACCTGCGAATGAATGCACCGCACAGACAGCAACTGCTGTCGTACCTCCGCAACAAACCAGCCAGGCAGTGGCTGGCACAGAACAACAGAACGCAGCACAAGAAAGCGGCCAATATAATGTGACCCATTATGCGCAAAAGCAGCACCGCCCGCCACCATTACTCTGTAGTTCAAGCACTACGTAATACTTGCAAGAGACATTGACCTAGTCTACACATGCACACTCACAGCAGTAAGGTTGCTGCAGCAAAAATTAATATCATCTCATTATTTTAGAAGGCTACAACTCATACCGTCTAGCACGAAGTCCTTCGTAGTCCAATGGTTAGGATATATCGCTCTCACCGATGAGACCCGGGTTCAATTCCCGGCGAGGGAGTCACTTTTTTTCAAATCGACTAGACAATATATTTTTGGGAAAACGACACAACAGGGTATTAAGGAATAATAAAAACACACACAGAAAGACTGCCCATTCGAGATATACCCACAGTCATATATATACCCTGGTCGAAAAGCGACACACCTGAGTACACAGTCATTAACAGCAGTAAATGCACTCATACCATTGGTCAGCGCCCAATTTCACCCCGGTGCGTCCGAAAAGGCGCAAGGTATACCCTGCCGTGACTACTTTTCTCAACAACTGTACCCTGTTTTCGGAAATGTACCCTGACCTGACGGGAAATGAGACCCTTTCATCAATCATTTCCCCCGCAGGAATCAACCCAGGTGTGTCGCTTTTCGACCAGGGTATACCCTGTTGTGTCGTGTTCCCTATATTTTTAACCCGATGTATATACAAGATTCAGGTCGAATCGCGGCGCGATTACGCCGCGGGTTCAACAGCGAAGTTGCGCCGCGTCTGTCTGTCTTTTTCATTTATTTATTTATTTATTTATTTATTTATTTTTCTTAATATGACACAGCGAAACCATCTCTATCATAGAAAAGAGTCTGAGACAGATTAGCAATGGATTCATAGCGTCAGAAAGTACCTGTATGTCTACGATTTCCCAGACAGCATATAGGGACATCTCCCCTGCGGGTTTGTTTGTTTCCTCTCCGTAATAATGTCTATCCGTAGTTATGACACTCGTTGTTTTGAGAAAGGCTTCTCGCACGTAATGACCATGTCGATTCCAACATCAGCCCACATAACAACACATAACGGGTGCAACATTAGGATAGACCGTGATAACTGCTTTTGCTTACTCGCGTCATCAACACATTGTTGCAACAATCCAGAGTTGCTTATAAACTTTCTCTTCTCACGGTGTCCAAATATATATATTCCCTCTTGGCGCACGCGTGGTTCGAGCATGTTGGAAACGGTCATCAGTCAACACCATCACCAAACACCACCAGCACCTCCGAGGAAGATGCCCCCCTCCCCACCCCCGTCCCCGGTGTTTGCTGTCGGGGTTGGTTAGGTTTTCGTCGCTTGGCAACAACGTTGTAAACCAAAAGCCCCTCGGTGTTGGCCCGTCCTCTCGAGGACGCGTGGTAAATGGTAGGGGGGGGTCGAAGTAGTACGGAGATCCCGAAAAAAACTCCTTCCCCTGTCATGTCGTAGGCCCCGAGGGGGATTTCGGTGGGGGGCGAGGCGTGTTCTTCTTCATCAGCAGCTTCAGAAATGTGTGGATACATGTCAATACAAAAGTATTATCACACACGTCACCTCCATGGTTCTCGAGCGGGTAACCTTCATCATGTCATTCTAGGAAAATGAACTTCAGAAAAATACATACAACGTGGATATCACCTCTGTGTACAAACACGCACGGAAGGGAGGTGCAACCCAAACATCAACGAACAAAGAAAGCTCAGGAAACGAGCAGTACCACAACCAAAATAACGTTGTAACACCAACCGGAATGATTGCGATAGAACACGAGGCGCGAGAAATACGTTTACGTTGGTCTGCCCACGTTCATGACTGTGGTTTTTTGCGCCGGACACGCCATTTTCGCTCAACCCGCGGGAACTACTACCCTCCCTCCCGGGGTATACATTTCATGACTGGCAGAGATTTCCCCCCTGTCCCCGAGTAGGTCTCGGGGCATTCTGTTTGTCGACCCTTAGGGTCAACCCTTCGTCGGGACCACGTTCCTTCCGCAGAACATGGTATTGACTACTACATCTGCTAGCAAGATTCTGGTCTCGCAAAAGTGTTCAAATCACCCAGCGCTAGCACTAAACACATGATGGCCATGCCACCCTATTCCACCGGACTTGGTTCAGGCTCCTTTCCGTATCCACAAACATTCGCTTGGTAGTCCTCATTGGACTTGACCCGCACATGACGGGGTTTCGTAACCCAACAACTTGTAACGGCTGCTGCTGCCACGTCTTCGACCCATCGGTAGAAGAAGCTCAGCAATTTCTTTACAATCAATATCACCAGGGACTCAGGAACATCCCACGCATGTCCTGCACCGATAGCAACACCCATCACCCTTGTATCCCATTCGGGGGCTCTATCATTTCTTCGGGGGAAAAGTTGTCCCATTTTTGTAGCAACCGCATCCACATTTTCCACCTTCGAAAAGGGTAACCCATTCAGTTGGGTCTCCTCTTGTTCGATCGTTCCCTTAGCCAACATCGCAGAAATTTTCTCGGCCTCTTTATCCCAAAGACTTGAACGACGAGAGGCTGCCGTTGGACAACTACGTTTTGTTTGCCCTCCTCCGAGGTGCGCTGTGCTCGGAAGTATACGAGGCTGGTTGTGACTCCTTCCTTTGGCGATCTATTCTTCGTGCTTGCTCGCAATCGAGCTGTTTGACGCACACCATCACCACAGAGCGACGTGAGAAGTCTCTGCCAATTGTGGACATTGACGCGTCCCTGTTGAGGCGGAAAAACAGCCAAACCTCGTATGCGTAAAAGGTCCAGACCTCCTAGAAAGCCTAGGGAAATGAATAGCAAGTGCTTCGACGCTTCAAGCGTGACACAACCACCGACTGAACACGCGCACACCACTACACGGAAAAAAAAAACGTCGCCTCGTATCAGCCACAAGAAGAACCAGCGACGACCAACAATGAAAACGAGAGATGTGGAGAGATTTGAGTGAAACGCCATACTATTAGTATTCAAAATCAAGCAGGCGTCGGGGGGTGCAAACTTCCAAAGCTACAACCGCTCCCGGCTCCTTGCGTCCCACAAGCCAACCGTCGCCTATGGTAATACTTTCTTCATGGTTTATGGAACAGGTACCGGAGGCTTTCCCATCACCGTTTCTGCCACCCCCGGTTTTCCTCCAATGGATTACAAGTGCGGTGTAGAACCGGACCTGGAACGCATGGTATGCCCACCCTACCAAATAGGCGAGCGCGCGCGGGGGGGGGAGGGGGGGGGGAGGGGGGGGGGAGCACAGAATCGCAATGAAACACGATGGACAAGGGAACCAGCGAGCGAGTTTGTCCATGAGCGAAATGAGCTGTAGTCTGCGTGAGTGTGTTGTGACCGACAAACACAGCGACGAAATGTAGCAATAGCTGCACTTTTTCACATAGTATAGAACACGTTCGGGAACAAAGTGTCATGAGACATTCTCGCCATGCACTAAATCAATGCCCCAAACCACCGCAGACACGTGGTTCAAGCATCGTCACTACAAGCCCGCAGGTGCTCATAACGTCCTGTCCGTTCATCCATGATGCTATTTAGCGACACAGCATGATGTAATTCCTTAGCTGTGGCCAAGCATAGTTCTCTCGGAAGCAACACTTAGCGCCGAAGGTGACTCAGCGCTTACCGCTAGAAAAAAGCTGTCAAGATGTCAGAGTCCTTCCTACTAGTAACGAAACGGGAAGTTTGTGCCTCCATCCTTCGGTCTCCCTCTCTCACCGAAACGTTCTGGGGTTTGCTCATGACCGAATGGCTCTGGCGCCGCGCAGATTGGTGCGCCGCCGGAGCGGCCATTCTGCCTCCACCCGCACTTACTCCGGTAGCTGTTCCAGGCGGTGCCGCGGGACCCCCTCCCCCCGTTGTCAGAGATTGCGCCGAATTCGCACGTCCTGAACCGCCAAGAGCAAAGTCGCCGAGAAGGCTGACCGACGTTACGTTTCCACTACCGCTGCTGGTGCTTCGAGTCGCCGCCACCGACATGAGGTTGGTGTTGTCCGCCAAGTCGCCCATCGGTAACGAGGAAGGCACGGTTCTGAATTTCTCGAAGCTGGCGAGGTCAGCTGCTGGAGACGACGGGGCCGAAGGTCCGCCTTCGTCGTCTGTGAAGTTGGTTGCCCAGTAGTGCATCGGGGACCATGGGACCGTGACCCTCGGTGACACCCCGCATGTGATATGCTGCTGCTGCTGCTGCTGCTGCTGCTGCTGAGGCCACAATCGCGCTACACCCCACGCGTTAGACGAGCCAGTCACCGCCCCTTGTTGTTGCTGCTGCTGCTGCTGTTGTTGCTGTTGCTGGGTCTGCTGCTGCTGCCCATAGACCATAGCAAACCGTGAGGGGAGCTGCAAGACTGGCACCTACGGGGATAATCAAGAACAGCGGAGTTGTGGCCAATCATCGATCGATGTGTCTCCCGAAAGTGGCCCGCAGAAAAAAAAACAACTCTGCTAGAAGGGACACAAGTTGCTCAGTGCGGAAGACGGCAAAGCGAGGATGAGAAGCAGGGGTGGGGGCGATAGGTTGGGAGGGGAGCGTGAGCACTGTAACCGGGAGCACAACCTAGATCCCTCTTCTGGGCCTGCCGAACAGAAAAGATGTGTTCGCCCAAGCGCGAACAGGATGTTCACCTGGCAGCTCGGTCCGTCTTGATACCGTTGGTGCTGTTGGTGCTGTTGGTGCTGTTGCTGTTGCTGTTGCTGTTGCTGTTGCTGTTGCTGCTGCTGCTGCTGTTGGTGTTGGTGTTGGTGTTGCTGCTGCTGCTGCTGCAGGCGCTGCTGCTGTTGCTGCTGTTGGTGCTGCTGGAGGCGCTGCTGCTGCTGCTGCTGCTGCTGCTGCTGTTGCTGCTGTTGCTGCCCGTTGAACGGCTGCCCGGGGGGTCCTTGCGCGTAAAGCACGTCGATATCTTGTGGCAACGCTCCTTCTCCTCCTCCTCCTCCTCCGCCTAAATGGGTTGCTCTCATCGACTGCTCTCGTACCAGCGCCGCGGCTGCTGTCCCCGCTACCGCGGCCACCGCCGATCCTCCCGCCGCTTGCGCCCGGCCCATGGCGGCTTCTTGCTGCTCAGGAGGCCCCTGGTGTTGTTGGTGATCCTTCAAGGTGGAACTCCGGACCGCCTGGCCGGCGCCCTGCTGTCCGATCGCCGTCACCTGCTGCCCGTGAGCCTGGTGTGCCTTTGGGTGTTGCGGCACTGCCGCTGCCGCTGCCGCTACAAAATTCGCATCCACGGTCGCCCTCTTGGCCGTGGACTGGGTGAGTCGAGGAGAGAGCACAGAGGTATGACCGCCGAGGTTGCCCGGGTAGCTGCGTTGCGCAGGGAGGGTTGCCTGCTTGTGCGATGGCAGTGTAAGCGCTTGCTGGTGCCGGAGGTTCAGCAATTGCTCGCGCTGTTTCTGCTGCTGATGTTGCATCTGTTGCTGGTGTTGGCGTTGCTGCTGCTGGAAGTTCCGTTGCAAGGTATGGTTGGCCGAGGAAAGTGCCCGGTTCTTCTCACGCTCGGCTTCAAGCTGAGCCTTCAGGGAAGCAAGCTCCTCTTCTGTAGCCTGTACCCTGGACGACAATGGAAGAATGGACGTACAGATCATGACAATCCACGGTTGCAATACGTGGAAACCCACCATTTTAGGGCGAGAAGTCGTTATCATAGGGGGGGCGAGCAAGGCGGATGCTTATCGTTTTCTCACAAGGAAGTCATGAAACGGAAAAGTCGGATCTACGCCTGCCGCCACTCTCTAAACCAGAGTTACCCCCCTCTAGCCCGTAATCCACGCATTCTTTCTCACTTCTCCGCGAGCGATCGGTTTCTCTGTTTCAGGGTCCTCGATTCGAAGTCGATGCCGGTGGCTGTCTGCTTGAATCTTGCCGTCTCCACGTTCATCTACTTGGGGACACAAGCGATCAAGAAGCGTCAAGGCACATAGATAGATAGAGAGGAAACGGTGGTGTTGGACAGCAGTTAGTGTGGTGTATAATGTTTTTTTCGACAGCACGGTTCTATCGCGAGTCTTCCAAAATTCACGAACAACGGGTTTCTTTGTGCCTCCGATTCCCTCTGATACAATCTATAGCGGAATCAAGCAGACCTACAGGTTCGGCGGAGCTTTGATTGCACAATCCCCATCTTCGATCCAAATGTACCCTTTGGCGCGCACAATTTGTTCGTCTACCCACGTTCTTGAGCGTCATAAGTGTCTCTCGTCATCAGAAATTCACCTGAGTCGCCAGAAAGCTGAGTTTCTCCATGCACAACATCGCATCCTTGCTCGCTCCACTCTGCGCCACCCCTACCTCCCCTTCCGCTCCCATACTGTCCACCGTCCCCCCTGCCGCTGTCACCGCCGTCTGCACAGCCACCGCTGCTGCTACTGCCGCCGCCGCTGCCCCCGCCGCTGCCTCCGATGACCCCCGTCTCGCCGCCGCGGCGACCTCCGCCACCGCCTCGGGTACGGAAAGAGTGGAGTTCGACGACGATTTCATCGCCGGCTCTTTCGTCGTCGCTTGAGATACCCCCTCATCAACCGGCCCCCGGACGCCGCCCTCCTGGCATGATTCGGGCGGTGGGGACCGAGGTCTGTCGCCACTGCCCCGGCGAATGCCTCTCGACGGGTCACCTTGCTCGTTCAGCTCCTTTGTTCCATCTCGGTCATTGTTGTTCGTGCCGTGTTCTGCCAGTGTTTCCAGACTCGCCACCTTTTTTGTTGTCGTTGGGAAGGGGTAGTCGGTGTGGCATATTCAGCAGCATGCATCTAGCTAGGCAGATTGTGTTGCGCCGAGTGTGAAGACAGGAGATCGGGGGTGGGGGTGGTCTAAGGATTGTGGGCGAGGCTAGTTGTTCTTGACAGTCTTCAGAACATTAACATTTATCGTTCATCCTAAGCACTCGCTGGCAAACACGAAGGGACGACACATGTTATTGTAGCATTGTGTTGATTTTGCGGCACGCACCACATCGCTGTTGTTGCTACGGTCGTGAACGGCGCATGCGCCGTACCACTTGCTTGCTCGCGAGATACCTCATTTGCGCAAGGCAAGTAATCTCACCCAGTCCAGTTCCGACCACCGCTTCTCACCTGATCCAGCAAGAGGGTATTCTGGTGGTAGATCGCCTTCAGAAGATGGGAGCTGCGGATAGGCGTCGTCGTTGAGGCGCCGCTGTCATGCCCGACGCGCTGGACAAGGATTCGAAAGGAACACGTTCGTACGTATCAAGCCAAGCAGTCAACATGCGATGTGTCCGCAAGAAATACCTACCACGCGGTCCATCACTCAGAGTAGAACGCTGGAACCTGAACGTGTTGTTCTTCGAATGGGCCCTATGTGATTCATTTTCGGGAAACCTCCACCACGCTACATTGGCTACCTTATAGGCACCCTGTTTTCAATCCACGCCTGGGTACGGTAAGATATGAGGACAGTCTTTAGTTGTTTGAATATTCGTACCTTCTGTAAAACCTTGCGAAGCGACATCGGTAGCACACGATCGGCCTTTCAGCTTTGACATTGCTGTGGAGCCCAAACCAGAACGCTCTTTGCCACCCTGGATACCCAAGAACTACTAATCCACTTAAACAAAGGAACGAATGGACACCGTGAGCTCACCCCATTAAGCGAAGAGGAGGGAGAAAGCTCGTCCGTCTTGCCCCTCCGCCGTGTTCTTGTCGGTGCACCAGTGCTTGGTTTTCTAATCTGGATAAATGTTTTTATTATCGTTTTGCATGGAGGGGACAGACAGTCCTCGAGGAATGGCGTGGATGAAGTTTGGGCTGGCGAACGAGGTTGACGTAGAGCATGCTTTGACATTCTGCATATTTTAGCTTCCAACGACAAACGCATGGTGGTTACTCTACAGTGTTTCCGCGGAGGAGCTAGCAAATATGTCTCTCGGTTGCTGACGCCTCCCGCTTACGAAGTATGGTCGCTCGAATTTCTAAGGGTTTTCCGTTCCACAGGGGGCTTTTTTGGCGAGCACATTCACATGAACACCAATCACAACTAGCTGGGATGAACTCTTCGGCCGTATGTAGCTCGCCACAGCTAAAGAGATGCCAGTCCTACATTGCTGCGCAAGCCACTGTGAGACTCACCAATACCCTTCTGCCTATCTCTGATTCGCACGCAGCGCTTGTTTCGCTCGTCTCTCCGGCGGCCATGCAGTCCCTTGCTCGCCTGCGTCCCGTCCCATTTTCCCGACCCCCCTCGGCAAGCCTTCCGGTGCTACCGTTCTCGCTGACCTCTGATGCCACCGCAAAAAAAGAGTAGTCTGAGAGGTCAGACCTCTGGTCAAGCGAAGCTTCGCAACCGCCGCCGGGCCCAAAAGCAGCACCAGAACGCCTCCATACATTCGCTCCAGGTTTTGGCATTTCGCCGACGACAGGAGGTGCAGAGCGGATCGACGTTACCGACGTCACCGAGCGTGGATTGCTCTCGGAGGAGGGTACATCTCGTATGCGGAACCTGCCCTTGCGCACGTACCCGTCCATGCTGGATCTCTTTTCTAGTCCTCGCTTGTCTTGTGGGCTCCACGATCGCTGTGCACGGTACTGGCGGCAAAGGTTAGAGCATAGTTGCCCATGATCGGTGTAAATACATCCGTTTGCGGTTGTCACAGTTGTATCATGCAAATCTGTGCACGGAGGCGTTCTATCTTCTGCAAAAAAAACGCTCACAGTAACGTTTCGGAAACAAAAAGTTAAAACAAGGAGAAATAATCTGGTTTGCTTGTCGAAATTGTCTCGAGATTACACTTGCAGGCCTCTTGCACCTTCATACGCGCCGGTCACATTGCGATTCCGGTCAACCTCAGTCTCCGTTTCGTGTTTAATTACTTCCATTCAATGATTTGATGCGGGCTTTTCTACGGGGTCTACCACCTACAAGCACAATTCAATGAAAGATCATGTACAGGGCGAAATGTCGACACGACGCGTATGGACAAGAGTCGTCACCGTCAGTTCGCACGGCAACTTTTATTCGATGCCTCACTTCTTCCGAGTTCCCCTCCAACCCGCTCATCGACATCAAACGAAGGCGATTTTGCGCCCCCGGTGCTGCAGCATCAGCATCAGGACTCCCCGTTGCGTGTGTTGCCTTGCTGGTTGCCGGAGGTACGCCGCGCGTCGTAGTCGCTGAATCCTCACGTCCGCCAACATATCCTAGCGGTGGTTGAAGACAAATCACGTGAAGAGCTTGCGGTGCTTCACTTCCCCCTGCTCTGTGCTTGTTTTGTTTCGCGCAATACACAGCTCCACGCGTTATTGTCTCAGGTGGCGACGTTGATACTCACGATCGTTGGTCTTTTGTTGATATTGTAATTGTTGCTGCTATAGTCGATTATCTTCTTCGGGTCGGCAGGGTACGCCGAGTTTCACCTGTGGTCGAGCCGGCATTCGATATCATCTCAGTCTATGCCATCACCACCTGTTCGAGCGCAGTCGAAATACCTCCTCATGGCTGTGGAGGTCGTAGCAAAGCGTACATGTACCAAGCAACAGGCTGGGGGTAGTATGTTGTACTCCAAACTAGAATGTCGTTCTCAAGTCCGAGAAATGACTGAAGCAGACTCAGGTATCATACGGTTTTCGAAGAACGGTGCATACTCTAGACTATCGAGCTTCTGGAGATGCCATCATTTGAAGTCCTTAATTTCGAGAGCACTGCCTTATTCTGTCGACTACGTTCTGTGGCATACTTAGAAAATGCGAACGACAAGCGTCACCAAATAACTCGCTGCCAATCCATGGGTCTCGATAGTTGGTAGCACCAATCAATACGGTCTGCAGATAGGATCGAGAGTTCAGGTTCGGCCGCACCTACAATAGAATGTAGCCGCAGATTGGACGGAAGCTCGTTGAAAGGACAGGAGACTGCAGGTGGAACTCTCAAGTTGAGACAGCGACAGATGAATTACAAATACAACAGTAAAGATTGGCATGGCATCAAACGTCTACAACCATTTGTCTATCCCTAGAGGCAACAAATAGTGGAAGAACCCACGCACATGCAGATTGTCCTCGTGACCTTTACCTTCATCGGCGGTCATGCTGCCGGCCTCGTTGATGTTAGACGCCACATCCAAAATGGGCCGAGTCTTTGCTGGGGCAGCCGTCGTGTCTTTGATTATGGAAGCTTGGCTTGCGTTGCCGTTGCCTTCGTCTGCCATCTTGTTACCTTCCGGCGGAGATGATGCCTAAAGCTCTTACAGAATACAGCAGTGCACAGGCTCGTGAGGCTTGCTGTACACTTTTTTGTACAGACTCATGCTGCCAGCTGCCAGGTAGGTGTGGCGTTGGTATCTTTCATGAAATCCTAGACCAACGCACTGCTCTCGTCTCTCTCCCTCTTTCCGTCTCTCTCTGATGGCTCTGATCGCGAGATGAGAGATGAGAGGGAGAGAAACCGAGAGATGAGAGATGAGACGATGAGACGATGAGACCGCAAGACCGTGCCTACCATCTAAACGAACCGGCAAGAGATTCGCCGCGTTGTTTTTATTCTGTTTTTTTTTACGTGGGATCGGCTAGAAGGTGGGGTCAGAGATTTTGCGGAGCCCCTCCCAGCCCGCCCGCCGCCGTCGTGTACCTGGTACAGCAAAAAAGGGAGTGCTCTGTGGTCGTCTCTGTCAGCGCTGAACGAGAGGAGGACTCGCCATTGCCAAGAAGCTGACACAGCACGCCCGTGGAGCCACTCCCTACCTGATTAGGACGGACGATAAATTATCAAAGGTGATGAACACCCCTGACAAGGCGGGCGACCGTGTCTGTGTAGCAGCTGCACAGGTCTTTAGAATAGAGAACGGGCCGCCGCACTGGTGCTGCTGTTGGTTGAAAAAAGTTGCTGCTGTGATGTATCCGCGCCGATAATACGTGCTTGAGGAAACTTGTTACCGCTACGCGATATATTGCCTACCTTTTTCAAGCGACGTTCCTATTATAGATGCCGTACTCCCCTGCTTTTTCGTTGTGCAAGGCCGAGTCTCCTTTTTCCGGAGGCAGGCAGAGTTTGCGAACCACCAGCTCTTGCAAGGAAAAATAATTTCAACACACACAGTAGTGAGACTACCCGCTCTTGTCGGTTCAGCGGTGACCCCCCGCTGCTTTGCCATGTACTGGTTGGTTTGCATCTATCTGTGCTATGCCCACGAATTTAAGCCCTTTCCTTCGCTGCGCTACCTTCGGCTGCTGCTTGTCGCGAACCCCACAACTCTGGCCGGTGGCTTGCCTACAACCTTGCGCGGGCCGGCGGGGGGCACGTTTCGAAAACGACACGACCGAAGCTTCGCCAGGCGGAAAGCGGAGCGAGCGCGCTTGTTTTTTGGGCTAAGGAACTTTAGCACGCGAAGCTGGAGTCAGAGGGGGTCAGAGAAGCAAGAGCGACGGAGCTTTAGCGGGAGAGACACGCGGTCTTTAGCGGGCGGACTACACACCGAGGGCTACCTGCTTGCTGCCGAGCTACAGATTTTCTGTGCATTAATCTCACACAACAGCAAGCCGGACACGACCCAGCGTTGCTTGCAGCGCCCCCGTGCTAGGAGCTTCGCAATGGCGGCCAGCAACCTTCCCCGACGGATCGTGAAAGAGACTCAGAGGCTGCTCGCCGAACCAGGTGAGCATCACGGCTTGCTCTCACGACACGTGTGTACGATGCTTTTCAAAAATTGAACTTTGTCCGCACCGCACAGCTGGTATCAGACAGACCTCCCCCCCCCCCCTCCTCGATGGGCCTGCTGTCTTGCCTTGGAAGCTCCCAACGTGCAGGCAGGCGTTACCGCATGTTGGGTGTTGGTATCTCACGGCACTCATCTGTGTCGCAGTGTTTGTGTCCCTGTCCACCCTCGTCCTGTTGGCATTGTGCGTATTGGGGTGCCCCCGATTAGCTGTTTGGGTCGTTCCGGCAAGCACCGTGGCACTGCCGACGTTGCCGGACGTATGCTAGCCGAAATGCCTATTTTACCTACTGGTATTTATGATTTTTCACTGTTTTGACGAACCGTGGCATGGTGCGCGTTGTCCTCCCTGGTGGTAGCGATAGCGAGTTGCCGCCAAGCGCTTGCTTTGACCGTCACGCACACTACCCCTGGGATGTGCCCAAACTATTGTAGCTTGCTGCCTCCGCTTCTGTCATGCCGTCGACATACAGCCACTCAAGTCCTCGAAGTTGGCTCGACCGGCATGTCTGAAACACGCGTGCGCCCAGAGTGCACGGCGGCATCCTCTTACACGTGGTTAGACCCATGCTTTCCGGGGTACTATCGTTGTGTGTTGGTTTGCGTTACTTTGCCAGCATATTAAACAGGCGTGATTTGAGCCTTTGCTCAGCAGCGTGGGCAATTCTTTCAAGGTTCTTGGAAGGTTGACACCGGCGAACGGAGTGTTGATCTTCGGTGTTCACCTACAATCCATTTCGCCGTAAGTTGTGGAAATGGAACCACGGAAGGGGCTCCGTGGATGAGACGATATCTCCTGCAAAGAGGCGTAGAGAGAGCACCAACTCGTGACGAGCCTTCCCAACCCTATCGAGGAAGCACGCCGGAATAACAGACTACTAAATACTAAATACCGAGCAAGCCTTCCCAACCATAACGAGAAAGCACGACGGGATAACAGAGACTACGATGCAGCGCGCCGCGGCCAAGGCCGTGGCTCCCGCCAAACGCAGTAGAATTGTTCTCTCTCGTTTGTTTCGATTCGAGCTCCGCAATCGGCGCTCTCCCCGCCCTCGCCCTCTCGCGGGTGTGTGCATCCACACGGATGCCTCGCTCGATGTCCAGGACAAGGCCAGCCTGTTCGCTATGACCTTGCCTCTTTTAATTGTGACAGCCGAACAAAGTAAAGGAACGCACCGCTCCGCCGCTTGGCATCGCCGACGGCCCCGTACACGAGGATAACCGGGTCGAGCAGCCCCGACGCATCGATGCCATCCGTCAGTTTTTAACACACCCTCGGACACTGGTTGAGAGCCATGGTGTCGCCTCCACGCGCGGGTGCCGCGTCGACCGGCTACCGCGTGGACGGCACGAAGGACGTCAACGCCGGGGTAGTATCCTTAACCTTGGGTCGATCCAGGCTTTTCGTAGCAGGAGGTCTAATTTCATCCCCAAGCTTGACATACTCAGCAGAACAAACGAAAAATGGGACCGCTGTTTTCCCGCCCACACCCATTCGGTGTCTGTCTAGCACCACGCCTCTAAGGTAAGACAACCTTACCGGCGTTTGTGTGGGTACGATCTCGTCCTTGCCGTACGGTTTCTTCCCCCTGCCATTTTGTTTCCTTGCGGGCTTTCTGTAGGCGTGATCTTGCTCTTGTCCTACGTTTATTCTGCGTCTCTCGTCACGCGTGACTACCATACGTGTGAACAGTACCCGGCATCAGCGCAACTCCCTACGAGGACAACCTACGGTACTTCAACGTCGTCATCACCGGCCCGGAGCAATCGCCGTACGAACGTGAGCACTCAGTCTGGCGGCGGCATTATTGGTGTGTGTAGTTGTTTGTTAATTGGCATCGACCGCGCCGACCGGCTGACCAAGGTAAAGCCGTCAGTCTCAGTGCGGTTGAAAACACACAATGTTTCTAACGGCCACTATCTGGGGCCCCGTGTTTGTGTGTGTGTGTGTGTTTTGGTGATTTCGCATCGACCGCGCTAACCGACTTACTAGTAAAAAAGACGCCAGCCTCAGTGCGGTTGAGTGTGTCTGTGTGTGTGCAATTGCTCCCGCCGTTGGGGGTGTTGGACCTTGCACCGGGTTGGGTATACATGTGCTCTAGGATCGATCGACCGTTCGAACCCGCTGGCCATCGAAAGGGCGCCAGCCTTAGTGCGGATCAAACCGGAAAATGCTTCTATAGAGATCGTGAGCTTGTCTGTCTGTAATCGTCGACTACGCTAGCCAGCTGGCGAATGGAAAGGGCGTCAGTCTTGGCGGGAGAAAGCGTGCGTACGTTTCATTGGCCGAACAGGGCCAGGAAGGAGATCGTTTAATAGGCGTCTTGGCCGACACTGCTGCTTTTCGCGTTTGTGCGTTTTGCATCTGGCATCGGGAGTGCGTCGTTCTTTGAGTTGGTTGTCGTAAAGCAGACGGAGGACAGTGGAGGAGAGGGCGCAGACCCAAAACGCCACCTGCCGGTTTGGTTCTCTCCCCCATCTTCGTTGGTTTCTTGGCCACAGCTCCCTATCCGCCTCCCCTCCGACGAGGGGCTCCGGAATATGGAATAAAGGGACCCCCCCCGCCCGCCCGCCCCTCCCCACCTTTTGCCGCGTAGAAGTTGGCGGAACGCCGATCCTCCGTTTGGAAACCCTCCGCTCAATTGCCAACACAACGACGTCATAAAGGAAGCAATTTCCTCGTTTTCGCGCGCCGGGCGTTGTCTCCCGTATAGATGGATCGTTCAAGCTGGAGCTCTTCCTGCCGTCCGACTACCCGATGGCACCCCCGAAGGTGAAAAATATAGCAGTGAGCGGTACCATCGAACGCCAGGGTGCACAGCGGTACAGCAGGAGCAGTGTGGTTGTCGGCGGAAAAATTGTTCTTCCGGTGTGAAACGAGCGCGCTGTTGTGTTTTTCTTTGTCCCGCTCGAAGAAAAAATGTGCTTGCTGCGAGTCTTGGGCCCCTCCGCCCCTGCAGCGGCATCGTCTACCCTAGCCAGGTTATTGTGGACGGTCTCTTGCTCGTCTTCTTGGCCTCCTCGGTAGTACTGGCCGCTCGCGGGTCTTTGGGGGGGCGGGGGCGGCGTGCGGGCTGCGTACCTTTGGATCGCGGGTTCCTCCGAACATGGGAGCAAACCGTTACACCGCTGCTGCTGTGTATGCTGCTGCTGCGTACGTATGCCGCTACTTCGAATTCTGATGCTGCCGCGCATGCTGCTGTGCGTGTCTTTTGTAGGTGCGCTTCCTGACGAAAATCTACCACCCGAACATCGACAAGCTGGGCCGTATCTGCCTCGACATCCTCAAGGACAAGTGGTCGCCCGCGCTCCAGATCAGGACCGTGCTTCTCAGCATCCAGGCAAGCAAACGCCCACCCGTCCCGTGCATCGCATTCTTGCGGAATTCCGGGTTATCTTCCCGTGGAACATTGGTGATGTGGGCGGCAGTTGTCCTTGACAGTGTTTTTGCTGCGGGGCGCAGAGCGAACTAAATAGCTGTTCAAGTTTACGTTGCATTGCGTGCTCATCAGAGGCAAGGGATGTTGTGAAAGCGGCGTTTATGCGGCCAAAAAAAGAAAGTCGTGGGGGCGTTGAAGAAGGAGCAAGAAGGGGCGAGCACCACACGGGCGAGACATCCCCCGACACAAAAAGGTTGTTTTACTCTGCACCGATCGCGCTAGTAGGGTAGTCCGTCCTTCGGCAAGGATGCTACAATACATGAGGTAGTGGTGATCTGTGGAAGTACTAGCCCGAGGTTAACTTACGCTTCCGTCCCTGCCTGATGGATAGTACAATATTCAGATGGATCGCACGACAAACTGAAGCCTATTACGTGAATGCTGCTGTGACGGTGCTTAAGATATACCACTGCTCTGCCATACAGTAGTGCGATACGCATGTATAACTTGACTATTAGCATTTCAACACCCCCTTGAGACGTGGACCTTCGAAGGTCGCCGGCGGTTTCAAACTTGTTTTGGACACAGTCCCGAGCGATCTTTTCGAAGGACGCATTGGACGCATTTTGCTTGTCGATGGCGTGGCCCTCCCTCCCGGTGTACGTCAATCTCGCCGCATTTTCGTGTTGCGGGCATGGCACGAATGGTGGTGACAAATGCGTGTCCTGTCTTGGTCTTGTTGATTGTTCTAAGATCGTGACCTGTTATCGTAGATCTCGGACAGTTCATCTGACACGTCACGCAACCTACGAGACATTCTGTGGTGACATTCGCACGTGTTTGCGTGTACACCAGCAGCAAGCAGCGTCCGACCCCTTTTTATGGAAGACGCTCGAGCTATGTGTGGCCACGAAATGATGTCTGTCTTTTTCTTTTGGCATGGGATTTTTTTTCGCCTTCTGCAGGCGCTCCTCTCGGCTCCCAACCCCGACGACCCGCTCGCGAACGACGTCGCGGAAATGTGGAAAACCAACGAGGCGCAGGCGCTGCAGACAGGTGCGGCGGGATAACTAACTGCCTCTTTCACGCATGGCCTCTCTACAGTGTTTGGTGTTTGGTTTGTTTGTTTGGATACACAGATGCGCCTGCGGTGTGTATCGGCATATTGGGCACATGAAAGTAAGCTTTGGGGGGGGGGTACTCTAATGTTTTGCATGCCTTAGCGGTTAGACCATTGACCACGCGTCCTCGAGAGGACGGAGCATTGTTCCCACAGGACCGATCACCGATGGCCAATCGTTCCTTCCTACTTTGCCGAAGGTGGCTCGAAAATGTCTTCCCTAGTCTGTCTATCCTAACGATATCCCTTCCCGCCTTTTCAAACCACTTCCTACTCCCCAGTACAGCTACCGTCCTCTCCTCTCCATTCCATGCCTGAAACATCTCCCTGTACGTCCCTTGTATTTTTCCCAGCTCAGTCATGTACACTTCCCTCTCCTTATTGTACAGCCGACATTCCGCGACTACATGAACACGGTCTTCGCATTCGAAGCCGCAATCACATTTGAACTTGTCGTCCTCGTCGTCTACCGTCCTATGTCTTCGTCGACGTTCTCGAAGGCGTATGTCCCCGGTCCTGAATTTGACCTTAATCTTTGTCCCTGCATCCATTGGTCCATGTAGGTAATCCTTGAACCCTATTCCTTCTTTCAACATTCCGTACACTTCTAGACCCTCCTTATCCTTGGTTTCTTTCCTTAGATTCTGTTCTTCTCTCTCAGCACAAGCAACAAATATCTTCTCCTTGAACCCCTGAAGACCCTCCGTTTCCAGCGTTTCATCTTCGTCGATGTCTAACCCCGTCCATACGTCCTCTACAACCTTGACCCACTCCGTGGGTTGTCTACCCCTCTTTTTGTTTTCCCACTTCGCCTCCCATACTATTCTCGGCGACCTCTCCTCTCCCATCCCGCACGTGCGATACTGCCATGTCAGCTTCCTTGCGTCTCTTCCCGACCGTAGGGATTGAATCCCCAATTCTGCCCTGACGGCTGTACTACTTGTGCGCTTGGAGCATCCTAGGATGATTTTCGCTGCTTTCGTCCGCGCCGCCTCGAGTTCTTTCACTACCTTCTTATTTACTTCCCATACTTCTCCGACGTACTCTAGCGGCGGTACGATTACGCTCTTCCAAACCGCCAATTTGATGCGTGTATCGAGGTGCCGGTTCGCGAGTATTGGGTGCAGCTTCCCTGCTCGTGCTTTGCCCTTTTCCGCTACCTTGTGCTTTGCTACCTTGGACATGTATGCATTACACTTTGTCTTTGTTTCGTTTTTGATTTTGTCCACGCTGCGTCGTGTCGAGTGTAAACGCCTCCCTCTCATTACCACCGCAGGCTACTCCTGTGGCGGTGAGTGTATTGGAAATACGACATTGTTTTGTTTTTCGTGCTAAGGGCACGCCGTTTTAACTGTGGCGACGACCTTTCTCAACATTTCTGTTTGAACCCGCTGGCAAACGTTGTCATGGGGACTTCCTGCCTGTCTGTATGTTTGGGGTGTGAACAAGCCTTTTTCAACAACTTCGTCCCAGCGAAAATATTTACTTTTGTCGTCCCTCTCTGGCTTTGTGCGGCCTCTTGCCGTGTCGAGGCCGTTTTCTTTCTTTTCTGAGGTGCCCCCCACTCACCCCGACGTTCTTTTTTTGCTTGTGTGGCACGTTACTTTCTTTTTCCCATCCTCGTCCTCCTCAGCACGGGACTGGACGCAGAGGTTGGCAAGGTCGTCCGCGTGATTCAGTTCGCGTCCTGAAGAAGATTGTTCTGAAGAACGTTCTGGAAGAACAGGTGGACGAGGAAGTCTTCACGGAGAACGTTCTGGAGACCCTGGGGGGACCGGTTGCGGTCAGTGCGGTGAACATCGCACACAACGGGAGGCGGGGAACTAACTCGGGGGGGGAGGGGGGGGCCCCTGAGAAGAGAGAGAAAGCGGCCTCGCCTCG